GTAGTTTATTTTGCATACTTCTCTGCCCTCCAGTCCCAAACTCTTCTTTTACCATAGTACTCACTCAAATGAGAAACATGCAAAGAGATCAAGCATCTTCTGACTTTTTGGGGAGGGCTTGGGTTTCAGGACAGTTTTTATTGCTTGAAACTCCTCCTAATAAAAAGCAGTCAAGGACATTTTCAGAAAAACGGGGAGTTAATGTACAGTTCAATTTTTTCCTCTGTTTACTGAAAAGATTTTACCTGCCATGTTGTTATCTTCAGCCTGTAGAACTTGATTGGGGGGGCGGGCTTTGAATTAAAATGCTATCTTCTCATTGAAATTCAACCACCTTCCCACCAAAAAAGAATACTAGCAATACATTACATAATGTTGGGACCAAACCTTTACTGCTAGTTGCCTTGATGAAACACTACAAGAATGGATAGGACTCCTATAAGGAAATATTGGAAAAAATAATACATTTCCTTACAGAAAAAGTCCGAAAAAGCTGGAATTAGAGAAACAAACTAAAAATGGGGGGGGATCAAATTAACTATGATTTCTTGGATAAAATCCATTAATTAACTCACATAGCCCCCCCAATCCAGAAAAAAAGACACACACACCCAAAATTGCTGTATTTCTCCTCATTTGGACTTCAGCCTTTCTAGTTCTATGTGAAAAACCCAAACCACTCTGATGAGCCTGAGGTACTATTTTTGGAGCTGGAGTCAGACATAAACTTGTTTTGAGTTTAGAGCTGTACAGCCTCGGAGCTGAGACGTAAAATGTGCTCAGAGCATCCAATCAGGATCTAGACCACAAGTGTTTCCCTCATAAACTATGCTAATCACTTTTGACAGTAGCTGGCATCTTTTCTACTTTTTTTCTGGCAATATCACTCAGACATTATGGCCCATGGAACCTGAGCTATTTTCTTAGTGATCTCTGTTAGGAGGTGAACATCAGAGCTGGACAGTGTCAGGGGAATTTAATGAACTACAGCATGTGCCCTCCTTGTGCTATGACAGTTCTGTCAGTTGAGTCTCTAGATATGCATTTCAAAGAATAGTGTGTAAAACAATATGTTGCTCAAAGGATAACCTTTTTGTCCCCATACAAGATGGATGTGATCGGCATCTGTCTGTGCTCATCGTTTTCCGCTCCCAGCAGACTTACTCACCCGCAGGTTCTGGATGGTCTTTTCATCCCTGTCATCGTCTCTGTAGAATTTCCCCAGAACCACCTTGAGCTCTGCTGTCTTGAGCACAACGGTCTTACCCAGGTCAGTGACACAGTGAGCTGCCACCACCACGGTGCGCTCATTCACCAGGGCCCCACTGCAGATAAGGATCCAGGCCCCTTTCCGGAGACTGTTCTCCTTGACCCCATTGACTGTCCGATAGATTGCGGCTTGCCAGGGCCACCTGGTAGAGACCACTGTCTTCTGAAGGGTGATGTTTTCTGCTTTTCCACAGACTGAAGAAACATGAACCAAGAATGAGGTAACGCCTTTTCCCCACCAAAGAATCTGAATATCACTCTTGATTCCTGCTTAGGATGTGTCAAAAGAAACCAAACTGCAATGGTTAGCATGAGGGACAGCTTTCTAATTAACCTGTGTTCTCAACCTGCAAAATTATAAGAGTATTTTGTATAGCTTTAAAAAAAAAACAAAAACCTTTCAATTTTTCCATTATTATCTGAATTCCTGGCTGAAGTAGGAATGTGGATTTAGCACTTGAACAGGTGAATTTTCATGACAACCTTATCAAGCTGCACTATAATGAGATGACTGCATAAAGAAATGGAAAGAACACTTCTGATTCTTGCTTATAATAAAACATCATAAACCCAGCAGTGCACTAAAACTACCCTAGGCAGTCACAGAGTAATTGTGAGGTCCTCTCCTAGAACTGACCTTAGCATAGATGAGTTCATGCCTATGAGAACAACAGCCATCCTGGGGAAAAGAAAAAGTTCTGCTCTGTTTTAGGAGTATATTACCCAGGCTCAGACCTGGGGTAAAATCTCCTTAGGAGAGTAAGGGTAAAATTTAGGGGTAAAATTACCTTAGGAAAGGTTTACTTCAGTTGAAAGAGTTACATCATGTGGTCACATTTTTTAGTCTCCCTTAGGACATTTCTTTTTTTCCTGGAATGTAGCGTGTGCATGCCCATAGTGAAAAGGATTGAATGAAATACTTTTCAATGCATGAGATGACCTCCACGCAAAACCACAAACAAGAACTCTAAAAATTTGCTTGATGTTAGGATTTACTTTTCGCAGTTTGCCTGATGTCAGTAGTGGGTTGTACCAAATCTTGTGATGTTCCCTCACTGACTTAGTCTGCACTAGCTCTGGATAGGATTTTATCTGGACTTACAGTTTGCAGTATGAACCCTTCCTTAGCAGGGTACAGTAAAGGAAGAGCCTCTTTAAAATGCAAAATGTCCATTCTATTTCTTAAACTTCCATGGTTTTGTCAGCTGTGTGCCAAAGTATAAAGTATAGAGTTGAAAGAAAAAACACATTTGCAGTAAATAATACTGGAAAACATGAAGTGATAGTAGGAAACCATTTTCTAATCAGGAGAGATACTCACTATACCTTTTGCTCAATAAAAGAGTAGAAAAATGGATGGCAAATTACAGTGCTGAAAGCTTGATCCCTTTACCATCAGCTGCACGAGTTCTAGTGGTGGATAGAAAGAGTCATATATCCTCAAGCTTTATTGCTCCTATCTCCCAGCTGGAAGCATAAGCAGCCTGCACCACTGGGACTCCCTAATTATCTAAGAAAGACAAACACACATCCTGTTCCCCCATCCACCCAGACGTGTGCATTTTTTTCCCTTGGAGACTCACTTGGAATACACACAGGGGCCCTCCCACTCCATTTTCCTGTCTTCAGACAAGTCCTCCTGCTGCTACCCAGGCGGCGGTAGAAAGGAGAAACGCACTCATACTGAAGCTGAGTGTGCAGATGCTGGTATCCTGGGGGCAGGTCTCCAAATGGCAGTGCTGGCTTCTTGGTTGGATAGATTTCAAGCTTTTGCTTGCTGAATGCAGATGAGTAAAGTTGATGCAAAGGTGTTTCCCTATCAAGGCACGAAGAACACAAGGTAATAATAATAATAATATTATAAAATCAATCATTACCATAGCTTTATCACCAACTGTATTAAGTATCATTTAAAATCATATGAAGTTCGCTTGTGAAAGAAGCACAAATATAATTCCGACATAGTATAGCAATACTCCCATTTACATCCCAGCTATTTTATTTACACATATATATATGTACACATACATAAATACACATATGTTTATAAATTTTCTCTTTATGCCTCTTTTTTTTCATTTATAGTTTCTGGATCACAACCAGTTGCCTCTGAATGTGGAACAGCTTTTGCCATTCACAAAAGGACCGATATACCATGTTTTTAAATAAAGAAATTACATTGGAAGCTGGCATTGGTGTAATTAATTCTCACTAGAGAGGAGTTAGGCACATCTTTTCTCTAGTGAACATTTTAATAGGCAGTATTAGGAATCAATTCAGATTAAATCATGTTGATAAAGTTGCTTGATTTAGCAATTAAGAGAGATAATTGCCTCACCACAGAGATTTCATAATTGCAATAATCACTAAGCTTCCATTTAGAAATTGTACTGATTAGCTGAAACATGGCACATAATTAAAAAAAATAAATATATGCACCAGCCTAGACATGGACCATAAACTTGACCACTGTCATACTTAAATCTTCATCACTTAGAACGTGTCCCTTGGTCTAATGCTTAAAAGCACATATCTACCGAAAAAACTATTTACACCTGAAAAATTCAGAAAAAAATTAATTTCCCTTGAGATTTCTGGGACTGCCTGCATCCAGAAAAGCCCAAATAATGTTTTTTCGTGTGGTAATTCCATTTTTGATCACAGAGAGACGCAGACTGCCTCCATCGTATAGAATCTGTGAGGTGATACTTAACAGCACTCAAGGAAAGTAAAGTTATTAAGAACAAGAGCAATGGCAAGTTCATTATATTTTGGAAGAAGGATGAGAGCTGCTGTGGTCATGCTAAGACTGCCAGGATCCCATTCCCTACTTACATGTGACCTTGCAATATTGCATAATCCACATTTTGCCTCACTATTGATCTATGAAATGGAGATCTTACTTCAAGGGATAAAAACAGTCCACGAACATGAGATGCCATCATGATGATCAGAGGGCTGGAGCACCTCTCCTACAAGGACAGGCTGAGAGAGTTGGGATTGTTCAGCCTGGCGAAGAGAAGGCTCTGGTGAGACCTGATAGCGGCCTTCCAGTACCTGAAGGGGGCCTACAGGAAAGATGGTGAGGGACTGTTTACAAGAGCATGTAGTGATAGGACAAGAGGTAATGGCTTTAAGCTGAAGGAGTGTAGATTTAGATTAAATATTAGGAAGAAATTCTTTACTGTGAGGGTGGTGAGGCACTGGAAGGGGTTGCCCAGAGAAGCTGTGGATGCCCCATCCCTGGGAGTGTTTAAGGCCAGGTTGGATGGGGCTTTGGGCAACATGGTCTAGTGGAAGGTGTCCCTGCCCACGGCAGGGGGGTTGGAACTAGATGATCTTTAAGGTCCCCTCCAACCCAAACGATTCTATGATTCTATGATTCTATGCTATGGACATGGGGGCACATATATGCTGTCATACAGCTGGTGTTAATATCAGAAACATTTTGCATAAAAAGATCTGTGTTCAAAAGTGTATTGAGAAATTTAAGCAAGGAAAATCCCTTGATAGCTACTAAAGCTTCCTGATGGCTTCTTGGGGCCATCTCTACAATCATACATCACAGAGCTGGAGCATGAGAGCGTATTTGGGAAGTACGTGCTTGCCTTGTTCCTAAAGTCTTCTCTAGGCATCTGCTACTGGCCATTGCCACAGCCAGGATATAGCTTCAGCTGGACTTTTATTCTGACCTGGTATGGCTGTTCTTAAGACCAAAGATGAGGACAGTTCTTGCACTGCATCTAAAAATAAACAAATCATGTACTGCAAAAAAAAAAAACCCAAACCCAACCAAAAAAACCCCACCAAACCTGAAATGAGAAATTACTACTTGGACAAAACTGAACCTGAACATTGCAGCATAACTAATTCAGATTGGGCTTATTTCAAGAAATCAGCAGAAGGGTAAGCCCAGACAAGGTCAGACCATTTATTCCTTCCTCACCTTCTACTCTAGTTCCTCCTCTCCCCCATGCCCACCTCAAACCCAACTTTATATCAGTTGTGCTATATTGCTTTGGATGGTCAAACTTAATGGGAGCAGATTACATTGCTGTATCCCCTTGTCTCCTAGTGCTCTCTCCACTCATTTCTTCACTCAGATGGCACATGTCCATATTTTAAGGCACATCATTAGCCCAAGGAACGGTTCTCAGACTGTTCTCATAGCCTGGCACAAGCTTGCAAGCCTAATTCCAGCATCGTCCAGTAGTTTTCAGATCTCTAACTGTGCGTTTCGTCCTGGCTGTCTCCAGGAGCTTGCAAACCTGTGCTTAATCAGACATCCTCTCCCAGCAGCTCTCATTGCTTGGTTATCAGTGGCGTTGTAGGAATGGTGGCTCAGGCAGGCTAAACACACAGGGTGGAAAGGAAAGGAGGGAAAAAACAATCACATTTTTTCTTTAAACTGTAGTTGAGATATTGCATTCTCACCTTGACTGAACCTGCATTGGAAGCACTTTCTGTCTCACCAGGTCAGAGATCTTTGGCTCTCTGCAGGCTAGAAAAAATATAATGTCGCACAGTACTTTTTCCACATTCACAGCTCAAGTTTTACGGTTCATATACATTTCCACTCTTTACTCTCACTAGCCATAGTGGACTGGATTAAGAAAAGAGGCAGTAAGTTACGTGCATTAAAATAAAGATAAAACCTAAAGCCTTGGAAAAACTACTTCCCTACAGATCGCAGGATCTATCCCATTTACAATGGTGGAAGCAACTGAGTGTCTTCTGCACTGAGACTTTCAGCCATGGAGGAAGATTTGTCCATCAGTGTGTCTGAATGCCAGATTTACACCACTACAGCTGATGATTTGGAATCTGAACAAACTTTTGCAATAATGGAATTATTTCCATCTGTGTAGCCACACACAGCTAATCTCTGTGACTCGGCATACAGGGAAAGGCTGCAGGATGTTACAGACTTCTAAGAGTCTGTTTGCATGTGCACCCATTGGAAGGAGCTGGAGACTGATTCAAAGGAACATCTCAGAGTTACCTGAATATGCACAAAAGAACAGAAGGGAGATCCAGGATTTGTAATTTTGCATATACAGTTTATTTACTTTAAAAGCAGGATAAAATATTCAGGTTTATCAGTTCAAATAACTCTGCCAGGATCTCCTTCCTGCTGCACACAGTGGAAGAAAAAGAATCTTGCAGGATGGATTTTATCTATATGTCTGAGCAGTTATGTTCTGTGGGGTTTAATAATATATAGCTCTTTGTGATTACTGTATACATTAACCTTTATGTCACTATCAAAGTTAAAATCAATAAAGATGCTTTCCACAGATGATTATACATTTCAGGGAGAGAGTATTTCCATCTAAAGTGGCAGAATAAAGCAAATTCCCTAGGTGACAGACATATTCCCTTATATTATCATTACTTCAGTTAAAACAAAAATCCATTAAAATACGTGTCAAACAATTGCCCAAATTAATTAATCCATTCAGGATTTCAGACATGCTTAGAGTAGCTCCAGGTCAACAGCATAATTCCCTTTCTAGCAAAGTATTTAAAGATGTGTTTCAGTATTTTGATGAATACAGATAGTTTAACCATGTCCTCAAGTGGTTTTCTGAACCAAATCTTCAGGGCTGCAATCTACAGGCTTGGCCTTTTATACTTGTAACTGGTTCCAATGACTTAAAAGGATTCTGAGAGGAGAGTTGGGCCCTATGACAGCAACTCTGATGAGACAATTACTTCCATTTCAATTCTCTACTTATCTTCTTTGATTTTACGCAGGTTTGATCCTAGAATGAGGGTAATAAGGGTCTCAGGGAACATTCCTTTCCATGTTTCAAGAGGGAAACATCTTCTAGAATCACTGGCATCTTCTCTGAGTTTAGCAGCCAGCAGAGCTGGCAAACTACCAATCTCTCTATGAAGTGTCAGATGGTTTATTCTTAGCAAAAAATGATTGTTTGGTGAGTATAAATTATATAAAAAAAAATCTAGTAAAACCATAGCAGCTTTTGTGAGTTGTGGTAAAAAGTATTGTAAACTACCTTTTATGCAGATTGGCTGCTTCCCTGACCATTCTCCATTGTCTTGGCAGGTCCTCTTTTCATTCCCACTAAGAACATACGAGTTGTTACAAAAGAAAGCAATGACTGTGCCAATTTTTGCATAGCGTCCATTCAAGAGCCCAGTGTCTTCTACTACTCTTCTGTAGCCATTGAGTGGGCCACCAGGATCTGAGCAGTTTTTTTCATCTAGAACTAACAATAGGGGGAAAAAATAGTAACCATTTTATCAAGTTCACAGCATTATTTTCACCCATCAGATTGCTTGGCAATTCATTCAGATGTTACTACACAATCCACACTTTATTAAAGGTACCTTTTCAAGACCCATCTGGGATCTCTGTCTTCAAAAAGATCACATATTAAAGAAGAATTTATAATGTACAGATGTCTGTTCATAATACACACTTCAGTCTTCACTGAAAGTGTAAGGTCCTCAAATTGTTAAAAAGACCTTAAAACACAGCTGACAATCCTGAAAAAGAACTTCAACTTTACATGATGTTAATGTCCAATTAACATTAACAGGGCTACTTCTAGAACATAAAAGGATGCACTTAAACTATTTGCAGGAAACGGGCCCTTGATGTTCTTTTCCCTTTTCAGTACTTTCAATACTTCACTAGACTTGGATAATAAAACTAGACTACTTAATTTTACTTTTAAGTTTGGTTGCATTTTGGTTTCTTAGCACTGAGAGATCTCAATAATCCAGGGAAATATGGGAATTGAAAGATAACATATATATATATATGTATTTACTGATACTAAAAATTTCATATGAAAAGCTTACTCATGCTAGGTTCTGCCTATAAAACCTCTTTCACTTCCTCCTTCTCAATATATTTCCCTTCTTTTTATTTGTGGTTGTGTTTTTTTCTCTCAATAAACTTAAATTTTTGGCCTAAAGCTGGATGACAGCATTCCCTATGTGATGCTAATAAATGCTTTTCCCTAAATTTTTCACTCTTCTGTTCCTTCTATTTAGCAGCTGAAAAGGTACTTTTTTTTTTCCTTTCGATTTCATCCTTCATCATTTCATCAAGTTTTCTTGTCAGGCTCACAGTAACATGCAATTCTGTTTAATTCCTTTGCCTGATGTCTTACTGCATGATAACCAGTGAACATCTAGTTTAGACAGTTAGTGTTGGTGCTGTTCTCTGCTTATGGAGGGCTGAGAAGACTGAGACATATAAATTGACCAGAAATGACCTCTTCATGTCATTGCTTCAGACTCCACGGCCTGCTGAGCCTCACTTCCCAAAAGCACCAACATATAACAAAGCACTTTTAAACATTTATTTAAATCCCTGTGAAATCAGCACAGTAACAGTGCATAGGTATGGCCCTGTCCTGTTCCCATATCCTCATGTCACCAGAGCCCAGCTCAGCCAAGCATGTAAACACATAGCTAACCGTAACAGTATAAGTTCAATGAACTCTTAACATTGAGTATATACTTCAATCTAAGCATATATTTCAGTGCTTTCTTTAACAACATTGGATTTTAGCATATACTGAAGGTTATCTATGTACTTAAATACTTTTCCACATGAGTCATATTCAGTAAACAAAGAGTACATCTGAACTTCATCTCAAACAGGAGAAAGGGAGGAGCAGAGCTCTGTCTGTTTTTAATTTGGCTCCATTTTTTTTCTCTGTACCTCACAGGCCCTCTCACTTGTGAACCACAAGTGCCTGATAAATTGATAGCAGCTAAAGACTACGGGGAATCACCCACAGTATAATGCTTCATTTGCAAGTTGCTTTCTGCACTGATATCTAGCCTACAGACATCATCAAATGAGCAGAGTGCATGTTTCCAAATGTACCTAAGCTTGATCAAGTAAGTCAATGCAGACCTTCTCTTATTTCATCCTATGCCTATCAGTAACTTTAACAGTAATTCTCTTCTTCCCTAAGCTCAGGGTTATGACTTTTTGCTGGATTAGAAACAAAGAGAAAACATCTGGGAAGGAGAGACCCAAATTACACCACCTAGCACTTCAGTAACAGACAAGTCTAGAGACAGATCTTTGAATAGATCTTTAACCAGGGATGTCATGCAGCAGGGACTTTAGCACAATCCTGATACTACATTTAGTGCAACCAGAGACATTCTCTCTAGATAAAAGAATGCCTATTGCTTGCTCTTTCAGATGAACTTACATGCAGCTGTTCCACAACACTCCCCCCCAAATTTACATTGTTTACCACAACACACTTGTAAAAGCACTTTTCCAATTGATAAAAATTATTCTGGAATATGGAAATAAAATTGTGCAATACAAAACAGCCAAAGAAAAATTAAAAGGCTCTTTGAATGAGAAGAAGGGGCTTGGAATTTCACAGCTGAATCAATGTGAATGGTAGGCATGCCAGCTTGCACAGCTAGAATGAATGGAAGTTACTCTTTTATCAATTTTTCTCTAGGATGGGAATTCTGTTGAAATAGAAGTCTAGCCTTCGTGCAGTAAGCCCCTAATCACCTCCACAGAGTGTACCAGACTTCTGCAGAGAAGGTATCAGAGGTACATAGTAATGGAAATAGCTATTCATGGTTGCACAATGTCCCTCACTTGGTTTTGGTCCTAGACATTTTCAGTCTGTGTGTAAGAAGGATGTATCCCTAAAGTCTTTGAGGAAATTATTTTTCAGTCATTTGATGTTTCATTCAGATCTTTATATAAGCAAGTCTTGCAGGCTTGGGCTCCAGCAGAATAAAATAAGAATCCCTACTGCTTCTTAAAGACAGGAAGACAAAAGAACATCATGTTAAGCCATTGATCTACCAAATTTCAAGTGAGATTTGGATATTCTAGTTTCATGTGAATACATTGGCCAAAAAATTTGATAAGAATCAAAACTTAAAGTGACCTTACCACATTCAGGATGATGTGTTGACCAAATCCCATCAAGCTGACAGTAGGCAACACGGCTGCCTTTTAAGCTGTAACCTGCGTTGCACTTGAAGTAAACCTGGGCCCCGTATTTAAAGTCATCTCCTTCCACAATACCATGAGCGGGAGCACCTGGAGTCCTACACATCACCACTGACAGTTCAGATATTTCAAAAAAATCCACTTTATTACAAAAACAGGACTGTGTTAGGATGATTCTTTATTTAGAACATTGAAAAACCAATTAAAATGGGCACAGAAGTCAAAATTACAAGACAGGTATATGCCGATCTTCAGAAAGTTGTTTAGATGTCAGTTCTACACACACTTACATGTACACCACTTTTCAAAACATATCTAGATCCATTCAGTTCAATGGGATTACTCAGAAGCATGGAGTGATCATGTGCATAAGCATTAGTATCATTAGGGCACATTTGCTCAAAATACTAGTACTTGAAGCACTTTCCATCTTAACAGCGGTTTTGAGTGAGCTACCATGATTGGGCAAGAAAAAATTTAGACCCTTAAAAGCCTTATATGTGCAATTCTTTCAAATTCTTCTTTCCATTTTTATATGGTTTTTTTTCAGATAACCTCACTGAAATATTAAAGTATCATTATTTGCGTAGATCAAACATTATCATAATGACATTAAAAACGAACCTTGATATTTACCAAACTGTGATATTTACCCTTTCCACAGGGTTTGCTCTGTTGGGAAAATACTTACAGACAATAGTCTATTTAATTACTGCAAATAGTAAATATTAGATTAAACATTATAAGCAAGATTTCTCTGAAAGCATCAAACCACCCATGCTAAATCAGAACAAAGGTCCATCCACCACAGAAGCCTGTCTTCAATGGCACTCAACAGTAGATTTGATGGAAGGAATATAAAAACAGAGCAAGCATATAGAATACTTTCCTGGCATATTCTGGCACCATTCAGCAATCTGGGGCTCAAGGACTACCTGAACTACAATGGTATTTTTGGTATAACATACCCTGGTGATTTATTTTTTTTAACATTAATTTGTCTGAGTATTTTCTAAACTCAACTATATGCTTGGTGTCCACAACATGGCAATGAGTTCTCCAGACTAAGTGTTGTGTGAAAAATACACTGCCTTCTTTGGTTTGTTTTCATTTGATAATTTCATTTGATGCTCTGCTTTCTGCATTATGAGAGACAGGGAACATCCATGCACTATTCATCTTCTTCAAGTCACTTTTTAAGACTAATTTTCTGTACGTAGAAATTACATGTATGTATTTCTGTATGTAGACATTACAACAATGTAGGAAAAACAGGTTTTAATATTTACACATTTATGCATCTCTGTGTGTGTCTCTGGTTTTGCCTGGGCATTCATTGTGGAAAATGGCAAAATAAAGGATTCAGTGCAGTTTTAGATATGCGGGGGGGGGGGGGGGGGGGGGGG